ATTGTGCCATAACAAACATTGTATTCAAGCAACATTGTGCCATTACAAAGCAATTACATAACAAACTAACTGAAAAACAGTACACAACATCAAGTACATAAGTATTTAGACATTGCCAAGCTTACATCCTCAAATACACACTCCCTACTAAACCAAGAAGTACAATCATAGCTAACCCATACAACTTCCTACTTTTTTTTGTTAATCTTCGCCTCATTGTCAATCACATTTTTGACACAAGCAACATCACTTTGTACATGTGAAATGTGCATGACAAGTACTTCAACCATTTTTTTCAATTCATCTGCAATTTCGCTCTTCTCTATAGCCATGCCAAGTTCTTTCTTCTCTTCATTCCTGACAATTTCTTTTATTCCTACGTCTTCCTTCCATAAGAAAAAACCACAGCTCCCAACATGTACACATTTAACGTATGCAAGCAATTAACAAGGCAACACACTAAACTTCTCAACCACACACCCAAAACAAGGACTTACCTTCCATTTTTGACAACCATAAAAAGTTCTCCCACTCTCTCGTCCAAAGTATAGAGGAGCTTTCAATCCGCACAAACAATAAACAACAGGCTCGTAGTCCATAGTACGGCTTCTTCATTTTACAACTTGCAAAGATGATGAAGACGACATACCTGCGAAGGGTCGTAGAATAACACACTCGTAGATATGGGAGCTAGGTCTGGAAAGGGGGTTGGTTGTCTACGAAGGAGAAGGTTAGTTGTCTGCGAAGGAGAGCTAGGTCTGCGAAGGAGAAGGTTAGTTTAAAAGGGGGTTAGCCACATCAAATAAATTGCCGGATGATGGAGGGACACGAGGGCATCCAAATCAGCACATAACGGGCTAACCGACACTCAACCGGCTAAAAAGCCTGATTGGGTCGATTTGGTTAGTTCAGGGACCGGATTGGGTGATTACTAAGTGCGAGGACTTAATTGAGAAATTGTCCAAAGTAGGAGGGCCTATTTGAGAGTTTTCTCTATTTGAATTTATGACCTTCCAATTATAATGTAATAATGATGTCATCACATCCGATGTCGATAAGTCCGTATTTAGACACACATTTGATGCGTGTTTGGGTTGGCTTTTGATGGTTTTCCTAGCTTTAAGGTGTTGCAAGTCTCAATTTTAGCTCAAGTTGCGATTATCAGGCGTTGGGTCGAGTTTCTTTGCATTTGGAGTTGAATCGAAGAAGTTAGAGTCCGACAATCAGCGCTTGAGAGGCATTCAGGAAGGATTTGAAGGCATTCGAAGAAGATTTGAGAGATTTGGAGGTCATCGGGAGATTCACGACGAAATTCTGATGAAGAACGAGTAATTGGATTGACCTCGTACATCCGGGAGCGTTTGGAACAAGAAAACGAAGAAAAAGTGAAGAATAAGGTCACGCACGGTCGTGCCCGGCGTTAGGCACGTTGTGCGTGCCTAGGAATGAAGCGGATGAGCTACTGGAACCCAGGCACGGTCGTGCCTGGCAGGCAGGCACGCCGTGCCTGAAGAGAAACGAGGAACAAGGTACTGGAGGCCAGGCACGGTCGTGCTTGGCAGTTAGGCACGCCGTGCCTGGACGCGTTTAAACGGGATGCTTCCGCAGGCACGGTCGCAGGCACGGTCGTGCCTGGCGCCGTGCCTGACCCTGTTTTGTCCTAATTCAGCCCAAATTGCCTTGTTTCCTATAAATAACATCCCCATAACCCTAATAAAGGGGGATGGACTTTAGAGAGCTGATTAAGGACGAAAATTAGAGAGCTTTTCAGCCAGGTTTTTCAATTCCTTAACATTCTTTGTAAGTTCCTACTTTTTTATTAATGACAATTAATTCTATTCTTCCCAATTCCGTTGATTCTTGAATTATGAATTGCGAGTAGTTTTAATTAGGGATTTGGAGTTGATGAAGTGGTTTATCATGATGTATGGCTAGTTTCTTGATGATTTGATTACATGAATGTCATTTAATTTGTGTTTGAATAATTTAATTGTTATCTTTTGTAATCTGGAACCGCAGCTAGAATTACAATTGCACATAGAATAAATTAAGAGAGATCTAGTTTATTCTAGGACACATTCACACACACTTAATCGTTCGCTAAGAGATTAGTAGCGATTAAGGGGCCGTAAGCTCGCTCGTCTTGGCAATAATTTAGGATCCTGTCGCATTAGAGATCAGCCTGGTCCCCTAAATTATTGTACTCTACGCCGCGAGAGTGGTAAGAACCTAGTATTGATTAGCTAGGCTCAATTAAATTAAATTCATGTAATTAGGTCTGATCTGCCAGAAATCTGATTACCCCGGAATCAATCCCTGTTCCCTTCGTCATTAATTAAGAAGAACCCAAATCTTTACTTTTATTCGCTCATTCGCATTAGTTTAATTTCAATTCAACCAATCAATCTCGCACGACGCATTTATTTTATTTCTTTTTAATCGCTGAATTTAGTTAATCTTTAATTCCCTTTTGTCCGTCCCTTTGGAGACGATACTCGTACTTTCACCACTATTCTACAATCTTTTTAAGTGTGAGAAAACTCACATCTTAAGGAGTGTTTGTGTTTGCTTATGCTCCTTAAAAATGATTTTTTTATGAGATTATTGAAAAAATGATTGGTAATAAAAGTACGCAGTCTTCGTAAATAAAAGTGATTTTTGACGAATAAGTACAAGACTGCGCTTGAATAAATAAAATTGGAGGGCACAGATGAGTTTTCTACCAAAAATGATGTTTGTACACACTCTTATACACACTTTTGTACACACCTATGTCTGTGAAAGCTTTTGTTTTGTCTGTGAACATCGATTCACAGACAATGTTTTGCACAAACAAAATATTGTCTGTGAACCGGATTCACAGACAAAAGAAAAGCTTCACAAACATGATGTGTATAAGGTGTGTACAAGGGTGTGTACATCAAGAATGGTTGGTTTTCTACTGTTTTCCGACTTCTTTCCTCCAGGCCTTGGCGCCATTCCTTGGCTCGCAAGTCTGCGAATCCCGTGCTCACTGCTCTCCAACGTCATCCTCAAGTCGTCGTTCGCTCTCCGGCCGTGGAATCCACTTCCCGGAGAAAGCATTCTGAATTAGTTGTCCGTTCTCCGGCCGGCATCTCCCCAAGATTGAGTCACTGGCCCGATGCCTAGATTCACCGATCAAAAATCTCCTATCCTCCAGGGAGAGGACCAACGCATAAGGATTTATATGCATATATTTACATATGTACATGTGAATTGAAATGTTTTTGAAAAGTGATGGTTGCCTTTTGCTTCTAAATCATGTAATAAGCACAATTTTGTTGGCTGAGTGTGAAATGTTTTTGTTTGTTAGTATTTTGCACTATCTGCCTTAAAGCTTTGCCAATTTCTTTTTTTTGATGTTTCATTAACTTTGTCACTTTCCCTTTTAAATAAAGAATTTGTGTTTCCAGTTAATTCTCTCTCCTCTACACAAACTTCAACCACACAATTTTTACTTTAATAATTCCCGTGCGAGTCAAACTTGATAAAGTTTTAAGGGACGGAGGGAGTAACGCATCGTTGACGAGCTTCAGCTTTAGACATAAAAGTGCTTAAAGTTGAATTTTATATTTACAAACACTTTTTAGCTTTTGTGATCAAAAAAGCTGAGAAGTGCTTATTAGAAGCAGCCATAAAACAAACTAGTACTATTGTAATTAAAAATTAGTTGATTCGAAATAACAGAATCCAATTGTAATGACAATTACTTAGGGGTGGACTCGGGTCCGGGCCGGGTCCGGCTCGGGCCTAGGCCCGGGCGGGCCGGCGGTTCAGGAATGGTGGACCCAGGACCGGCCTGGGTAGCCACCGGGTCCGGTCCGGGCCGGTCCGGGCCTCCGGTTTGGATTTTTTTTCCAAACCCATCCTACCCATCAAGCCCAACCCGGGTGGAACCCCAAAAATGAAAAAAAAAAATAAAAAAAAATTCAATTTGGCTCGGGCCCGGGCCTGACCCGGCCGGTTCACCAAATTTGAGACCCGAGCACGGACCCGCCCTACCCCCGGGCCTAGGCCCGACCCGAACCCGGACCCGAGAACCGGGCCGGTCCCGGTCCCGCACAGTAGTGGGCCGGGCCGGTCCACGGGCCGGGTGGCCCGACCCGAGTCCAACCATACAATTACTTAGAACTATGGATGGACTCGGGCCGGGTGGCCCGACCCGGAACCGGCCCAGGACCGGTACTGTTCCGGCCCGACCCGACCCGGTGGCCCGATCAGTGACCGGTCCGGGTAGGCCCGGCCCATGGGTTTTCCGGTCCGGGCTCGGGTCACCCAAAACAAGGCCCGACCCGGCCGAGCCCAGGCCCGGTTCGGGCCAAAAACTTTTTTTTTAATTTTTTTTAATTTTTCGGATTGGGCTGGGTATTTTGGGCCATTTGGGGTGGTTTGGGGGGTTGGGGGTGGGAGGGGGGTTAATTAGGAAGAGGAAAACAAAAAAAATATAATGGGCCCGGCCCGGCCCGGACCCGGACCCGGTGGTTACCCGATCCGGTCCCGGGTCCACCATTTCTGACCCGCCGGCCCGCCCGGGCCTAGGCCTGACCCGGACCCGGCCCGGACCCGAGTCCATCCATACTTAGAACCCGTTTGGTAACACTGAAATCGGATGGATCAACTGATTCTGTTGAAACTTATGAAGTTCTAACTAAAGTGTCTGTATTAGCGGATTTTGGTGATTATAAAAATATTAAATTTAAAATAACTTTTATTAATAAAATAAATAAAAAATTATATGTAAAAATATCTAATGTAACTTCAGCCGATACAGCAAAAAAAGTAACTTCAACCTTACTTTTTCTTATCATTACACATTTCAGCGCACGAAATAAAAAATTACACATTTCAGCGCGCGAAATAAAAAGTCTGATAAGCCAAAGAATAGTGTTACCAAACGGGTTGAAGTGTTACCAAATGGACTCTTAATAGTACATGAATCTCAAAGCAAAGCTCCCATAAGAAGGATATCTTTAATTAAAATGGAGGGTTACCTAAATAATCAAACATAGCAAACATAATCAAACATTACATTTTGTATTTAATTACGTGGTCTATTACATTCAGTTGCACTATAGTGAAACCAAATGTAGCCTAATAGGCTAATAATCAATGAGCTCGAAATAAATCAAGGATTTTTACTCCATGTCTTAGAACAACTCTAGCGCAACAAATGAGTCAATAAAATTTCTCTTGCTTTCCATGATTTTCTACCTTCTTAGGTAACATTTCTCCACAATTTCACTACACATTGTGCTTGACATTGTAGAAAAAATGTTATAAGAACATATAAAAAAGTAGAAAGGAAAAGAGAATTTGCATTTAATCTTCCTTCTGGAGTGACAATCTCTCCTCATTTCACATGTATACGATGCACGTTAATGTAGTAGTAATGTAACAGAAAGAATTGAATTGAATACACACACGTTGCCTTAAAAGATTTCACTAAAAGATAAAGCTTCAGATAAACCATGCCAATAGAATTGGAAATGCCGCAAGAAGCACTACAATGCAAGATGGTTTACTATTGAGAAGAGTGCCACTGTGATCATGTGAATCTGATGGAGGTTGTGCGGGGCATTGGAGGCCAAGCTTATCTCCTTTACACTCATTGGCAAAGAGACCAGGTGGGTACTTGCCATTGATGTTGATATAGCTGAACATGGCAGATGCACACTCATTTGTCAAGTCATTTAACTGGTCGGCATAAGGACATGCAAATTGTACAAATGCACCACAACAGAGCTTGGGCGGGTATGCTGGTCCTTTGCATTGGCGGGTGATCACAGAGTAATTCTGAAACTCAAAATCAACTGGGCATGCTGCAAATTTCAGAGTAGGTAAGATATTGAGTTAGTGACCATGAAGTATAATATATCCAGAGCTTTTCTCAACCATTGTTTTTCAAAACAATCAGAACTTTGCATTCAATGTACACATGTGCAACAGTATTGCAATATTATCAATAATAACTTAACTACATGTAGTATTACCACAATTTACATATCCTAATATCACATAATAATATATTCCTCTGCTGGCAGATTTAGGATTTGATAAAGCCATGTAGCAGTTGGAACAAGTAAACCTTCTGTGGCAGAGCATTGCAGCTTATGTTTATGGTGCAACAACGGTCATAATATTTTCCCAGTGAAATCTTAAGTGGGCGACCGCTGCGTGTAGCAGGAAACCAAAAATGGTAAAGCTTGGAGCTCAGTCACACTACTTTCCAAAATGGCTCACTAATCTGTCTACGCTTCTTTGTTATGAAGCAGCAGTCAGTCTATGCAATGCGATTTTCACTATGGGTCATCCAGAAACAGTCTCTCTGCACTTTAATACATAGGTAAGGCTGCGTACATCCGACCCCCCTTACCCCACCGTAAGTGGGAGCCTTTGGGGCAATGGGGTAATGATGAAGAAGAAGAAGAGGAGGTGAACCGATCACTTGACAAACAACAACAACATTACTCCAGTGCCGCAATGGCTCCCACCTACGGTGGGGTAAGGGGGTCGGATGTACGCACTCTAACCCTGTACTAAAGTGGAAAAGAGACTATTTCGGGATGACCCATTATAGACGTACTATGTTGTGACAATAAGATGTCTAAGGGTGGAGAGTTTAAGAGGAATGGAATGAGGATCAAACTGATGCTCAAGAGTAAGTAATGAAAGATGAATAGTGATATGATTCCTCACTTTGAGGAATCTACCAAAACCACCAAAAATATTGGAAGAGATGGAGTATATTACCTCCTCTGGGCCCAAAGGATCAAATGAAGGAAATGGACATGGAAGATCAGCTTAAACATTGAAGGCGTATCTAGTCTAGTAAAGAAAACAGTGCTTGGATTATCTAGATGCAAGCATCTAGATAATCAAAGACATGTATATTCTTTCCATAGGCTTACATATAACTTATTGTACAAGATTTTCCTACTATGATAAATAACCTCTCCGGATTGTGGAAAGAATTGTCGATTCTCGGCCATCATTACTATAGTGAAAAGGCATTTATACTCTCTACTTTCTTTCTCTAGGATTTACATTACTTATCTCTATACCCGGTTACAATAAGACATCAGGAAGATAACACATCTATAATGTGTCGTTCTATTATAGTATGCATAAATCAGGGGGGAAACCAGCCAATAAATCATGATAAGCAGTTTTCATTCTAAACATACCCAAAAAAATCATGTAGTTTATGCAAAATTAATACAGAACAAAGTGAGCTACATAATGGTAGGTCAGGAGATCATAAATTGAAAGGTTCAGGAAATAGCACCTTTTTTATTCTGAAGCAGGTGCCTCCCCGTGGAAGATTGAGAGACAAACACACCATCTACACCATAAAACATATCCAATTATGAAGAAGTAATTGAAATCTTGAGAAGTCGTCAATCACAAGAAAAGGTAAACTGTATCAGAGCAAAGAAAGTAAAAATAGATGGCAAATTAAACTACAGCAGATCAAAGTTCACTATGTCTAAGGGCCTATTTAGTTTGGGGATCTCAAAAGAGAGGGGACGAGTGATATTTAATTATAATTTACTACGTATTTACATGCTTAAATAGTTGGAAATAAAAGGGAAATGAAAATTATGGCAGTACACTATGTAACTACAGTACTGTTATTCTACAAATCGGTCAAAATAAAATTAATTATTCCATCCTCATCTCTCCGAAATCCCCGAACAAGACAAGGTCTACAATCCCACAAACAAATTCCCAAAAAATATTGGAAAAACTTTAATAAAACCTAGTGTTCTGTAAATCTATGCACACCTGAGATAAAACTGGAAGAAGAACAGCCTGCGAATAGAGATAGACAAAAAATCACAGTGAAAATGGAAAGACAGCAATCGTTTCTGAAATCCATTGTTGCTAGCTAGAGCTTCTTCTATCTGAGCTAATTGATCTCAATGTGTGTGTAAGCACATCAAGTATGAACGTGTGATTTAAGATTGTATTTTTCCAACTCGGTAGCTCAAGCTCACAAAGATAGAAACGGAAAATATAAATTAAAGTTGAAGAACTGATTGAATGAATAATACGGATCAGAGCACAGCTTCCGTAATTATAAAAGTATATAGATAGATTATAGATAGATTACAGCTGTGTAGAGTGGAGGCCGACTGTTAACGCTGGATGACGTTTCCTGTGCTGTCTCCAATATCACAATATTGCGTCCTTACTCCTTAATTCCTTATTGACTCTGTACCCTTCCTTCTTCTTTTAAGTTTATCTCACTTTTTTCTCGATCCATTTCACTAAAATTGTTTTATATTAAAGTTATAAAAATTGTAAAAGTATGATTTTAAATCTTTATTACTTTATTTTTACTTCATCAATTCAATATTAACTACATAAATTGACTGATGGAGTATATGACTCAGGGACCCCCCGATCCACATACTTCCACTATTACATTCAGGCCCAACAGGCCCAAAACGGGCCAAGCCCAGCAGAATGAAGCTCTAAGCAGCCCACGATGCATGAAGGGGTGCCTTCGGCCCCATGGCCGAAGGTTATCAGTGACAGAATTGGTTTTAGCAACATCACGGGAAAAGAAGGCTTGAAAACCAAGCCCTCGTCAATTGGAGCCCTCGGCACTATGAGTCTATGAGGCCCCCGGTACGCAGAGCCTTCGGACTGTCATCTATAGCCGAAGGCATCCTCCTCGACAGGATCTCCCATCCACATGTGCTGGATCACCGTACCAAGTACAAACGTCGCATCCAACCACCACATTTAATGCGGCCACATGCGAGTGCCAGCGCCACCCCGGTTGAGGTGACCCCTCGACCACCAGAATGCTGACATGTGTCCCTATCTAGCATTTACTGCTACTATAAATAGCAGTCTCTTTCCCCATTAGAAACCACGCCTTGGATACATAACTCATATATTCGAATTCACTCCCTCTCTCTTACTTATTTGCTCTCACTTCTCTCTAAGTTACTCCCCGCAGTAATCCCTCATATAAACTACCCCCCGGGTACACCATCCATCATTTGGTGCTCTCGTTGAGAGGTCGAACAATCAAGTAAGAAACCCTCCCTTTCATTTCAAAACACATACCAAAATGGGAAGAACCACTCGTGCTTAGTCCAAGAACATTAAGGACAACAACCTGGCCCTCAGTGAAGTCAACGCCCCCGGAGCCTCCAACAAGGCTCCCGAGGGCGGGGTCATCACTGAGTTGGAACGGGCTGCTGTTGACCTGCGCCTTCAGCTTCAGCAAAATGCTCCCGATTCCCGCCTCGGCATCGAAACCCAAAGGAGGGACCGGAGCGAGAATCAAGTGAGCCCTCCGGTCCTCACCATCGATGTACAATCGGCATTTTCTACCTTCATTCAAACACTTACCCAAAACCCAGGTGCCTTCGGCACTCTGGTGCCCCTTCAACCACAGATCGGGGAGAACGCTATGCCTCTCCCGCGTCCACCCCCTTCGTGAACCCTACCCCTCGGGTTGGGAACGATGAAGGGGTCGTGGCTCAAGACACCACCTCCCAGGAAGTCCAATCCCGGGACCACCATGGCGCAAACAAGGAGAGGCCCAGGACCTCCGCCCTCGAACGGCTCGGAGGGGCGCAAGACCGCCGAGGGGTCCAAGACCGCCTCAGCGGAAAGGCGTCCCAAAGACCCCAAGAGAGCGGGGGATCCGTCTCAAGGGCAGACGAGAGGCGTCCCCATCAAGAAAAAGGCAAGGCACCACTCCATGCCAATGACGCAAGACATCAAATCAACAAGGCCCACTCGGCCCGTGTTCGTTCGCAGGGGGCGGAGGCCCTCCCGAAGGACCATAGGGACGAAATCATTCAGGCCCTCCAACGCCGCCTTGATGAGATGGAGGCCCGTCAAGCACACACAACAGCTTCCGCCTCCCAGGCGGACCCCAAATACACTGTCGTGCTGGCCAAAATGGAGGAGTTGCAAAAGAAAATGGCCGAGGGCTCCGGGGAACCCGTCATCCAACTTCAGACTAGGACGCCATTTACCCCAAGGGTATTGGCAGCCCAAATTCCGGAAAAATACCGGGGCCAACCCATCAGGCCCTATGAAGAAAAGACAGACCCCAGGAGCATTACAGCATATATCAGAATAGTATGATGATGGTGGGGGCATCGGGCGAATATTTGTGCTGTTGGTTCCTCTCCACCTTAGAGGGACCAACGTACGAATGCTTCAACCGATTGTCCGAAGGCTGCATCGATTCATGGCAGGAACTCGCCCAACGTTTCTTGACGCAGTTTGCAGGGAGACGCCGGTCAAGAAAACACTTGTCCCACTTGCTGACGGTGAGACAAAGAAAGGAGGAGACCCTTCGGGACTTCTTGGAACGCTGGAGGACGGAGGCAGATAAAGGTGATAGCGCTGATGATGGGACCCTTCTGCCTCTCCTTCAAACAGTCCTCCGCCCCGGGAACTTTTCAAGGAGCCTCATCATCAAACCTCCCCGCGATTACATAAGGGCCCTACAGCGGGGGGACCAGTACGCCGAGGCCGAGGAGGTGGATAAATGTCATCACAACCCCAATCATCAGCGCCCTCGGCCAGATGACAAAAGCAACCGAGGGCCGGGGGCTCCCCCAAATCAATCCAAAGGCCCGACCCCTCGGGTGATCGCCCCCGGCACTGCCAAGCCAAACCCGGGGGAGGTTATAGGCACAACCCGAAGGCTTGGGCCCAACCCATCCTTCCGGAGCACCCTCGGACGCCTCTAACGCATCCCATCAGCGTCATCCTGGACTACGCCGAGGAGAGGGGCCTTGTGGAGTGCGACTCTCGCGCACCCCTTGAGGTATATGCCGTCAACCCCGATGAACCGTATTGCCGCTTTCATCATAATCAAGGGTACATGACCGATGACTGCCACCAGCTGAAGGCAGCGATCGAAAGGTTGATACAGGCAGACCACCTGTCTCAGTTCATCAAAGGCCCTCCTCCTCAGGAACCCCTCACTACCATGGGCCCCCTAAGAAAGCAAACGCCTGGGTTAACCCGAACACCATTCCCCTTGGTGACCCGAAGGGTAAGAAAAGGGAAATCGGGAATCTCGTTGAGGAGGAGGTGTACAACCACTACCAGGAGAAGAAGCGACACATCCTCATGATTACCGGGGGCAATACTGGGGGAGATTCCACTAGCCAAAGAAAAAATGGGCACAATCACTTTACGTTAGGGAAGTATCTCATATGCCCCCGTAAAACGATTGAGGGAGGAACCCATCATGTTCACCAACGCAGATCTCCCCCCGGTTTCCTCCCCTCACAGGGATGCGCTGGTAATACAAAGTGAGATCAACGACACCATCATCCACCGAACTTACGTTGATACAGGCAGCTCTGTCAACGTAATGTACCTCAGCACTTTCAGGGAGCTGCACCTAGAGAGGAGTTGCCTTCGGCCCATCAAGACCCCTCTGTCCGGATTCACCGGAGACACTATTAATTCTGAGGGGGTCATAACCCTCCCGGTACTCTTTGGCGACAGGCTCCATAGGGCCAAGCTCGAAGTGGAGTTCGTCATCGTCAACATTGACTGCGCCCACAATATCATCCTCGGTCGGCCCGCCCTTGAGGATCTAGAGGCCATCATCTCCATGAGGCACCTCTGTCTCAAATTCCCAGCCAAAGGAGGCATCGGGTACTCAAGGGGGAACAAAAAACTGGCCCGCGTCTGCTACCTTCAAATCACGAAGAAGGTTAGTAAAACTGAGTTCCGAGTAGACACCATCACCGGAACTGTGGAGGAAGAAGAGAAGAGACCGAGGGCAGAACCAACCGAAGAGGTAGAAGACTTTGCGCTTGATCCGACCAAATCGGAGAGAGTCGTGAAGATTGGAGCCAAGCTCCCTGAAGATTTGAAGACCGGCATCACGGATGCCCTCCGCACCTACTCCACTGTTTTTGCATGGGGGCCGGAGGACATGCCGGGGATCAGCCGAAGGGTCATCGCTCACAGCCTGTGAGTGGACCCTTCGTCCAAATCCGTACAACAGAGAAGAAGGCCCCTCTCGGCCGAGAGGAGGGATTTTGTGAAGAAGGAAGTCACCATGCTCCTCTCCATCAAACACGTTAAAGAGGTGAAATACCCCTCATGGCTAGCCAATGTATTCCTTGCACAGAAACCACCCACCTTCCGCATGTGCGTGGACTACACGGATCTCAATGAGGTCTGCCCTATGGACCCCTTCCCTCTGCCAAATATTGATCAATTGGTGGATGAGACTGCGGGATGCGAAATCATGTCATTCCTCGACGCCTTCCGCGGATATCACCAGATTTTCATGCACGAGGAAGATGCCGAAAAAACAGCCTTCATGACTCCCGAAGGCATCTTCTGCTACCTAGTCATGGCCTTCGGCATGAAGAATTCGGGCGCCACTTACACCCGGATGGTGGCTAGGGTCTTCCAGACCGTCCTAGGGCGCACCATGGAGGCTTATGTTGACGACATGATCATTAAAAGAAAACAATCATCTAGCCATGTCGACGACCTCCGGGAAATCTTCGCCATCATGCAGAAGTTCAACCTTCGGCTAAACCCGAAGAAATGCACCTTCGGCGTGCAAGGAGGCAAGTTCTTAGGCTACATGGTGAGCCGAAGAGGTATCGAGGCCAACCCTGAGAAGATCCAGGCCATCATCAATATGGAGCCCCACGCAACGTGAAGGAAGTCCAAAGGCTAACGGGCCGCCTGGCAGCCCTCAACCGCTTCCTATCCAAATCAGTGGAGAAGTCCCTCCCCTTCTTCCAAATCATGAGGAAAACTGCCGACTTCCAGTGGACTTCAGAATTCCATGAGGCCTTCGACGAGCTAAAACAATATTAATCTTCACCCCCTGTGCTCTCCAAACCCAAGATAGGGGAAACTCTATACCTTTACCTTGGCGTCAGCCCTGCTGCCATCAGCTCAGTGCAAATCCGGGAGGAAGATGACATTCAACATGCCATCTTCTATGTTAGCAAGACTCTCAGGGAGGCAGAACTCAGATATTCTCCCATGGGAAAACGGTGTTAGCCATCGTTTGGACCGTCAAGAAGTTGGGCCACTATTTCCAAGCTCACCCGATCCAGGTCCTCACACACCAACCCCTTGGCGCTTTGATGAGGAGTCCCACCACCACCTCCCCGGATTGTACTTTGACAAACACATTCAACCAAATATTACATTCTGAATAACGTGTTAGCTAAAATTAGCTCAGG